CAAACGGAAGGGAAAATTCTATAAGATGGTAGTGCGGCCTGCAATGCTTTATGGTGCTGAATGTTGGCCATTAAAAGAGAAGCATAATACCAAGTTAAGTGTGGCAGAGATGAGGATGCTTAGGTGGATGAGTGGCTTTACCCTAAGAGATAATATATGAAATGAGCATATACGTGAAAAGGTTGGAGTAGCTCCAGTAGAAGATAAGATTAGAGAGAGTCGCCTTAGATGGTTTGGTCACATAAAACGGCGGCCTTCCGATGACCCGGTTAGGAGAGTAGATTTGACTTATGTTAAGAAAAGTAGGGGTAGACCTAAAAAGACCTGGTTAGAAAATATTAGGAATGACCTTTCCTTATTAGATTTAAACGAGAATTTGACTTTTAATAGGACACAATGGAGAAAAAGGATTCATGTAGCCGACCCCACGTAGTGGGATAAAGGCATGATTTTGTTGTTGTTGTATTAGATACTAAGGAGGGAGAAAGATATATGTATAAGTTAGCCAAACAAAGAGATAGAAGTAGTAAGAATTTAGTTCAAAGTGTATTAAGGATGAAGATCAAAAAGTACTTTTCTTAGAAGATGATATTCAACAAAGGTGGATGAGGTATTTTGCTAAACTTTTTAATGAAGAATGTGAAAATACGATTGACTTCAGTGACTTTATCACCCTAAATGAAAATAAAGATTTTTGTTTTTATCGACGTATAAGTAAACCGAAGTTAGAGAGGCTTTAAAGAAAATGAAGTGTAGAAAAGCTGTTGGACCTGATGATATTCCAATAGAGATGTGGAAATGCTTAGGAGATGAAGGAATTTATTGGCTTACTAAACTTTTTAATATTGTTTTGAAGACTAAAAAGATGTCAGATCAGTGGAGAATGAGCGTGTTAATTCCTATTTTCAAGAATAAAGGTGATGCACAGGAGTAAGCGAATTATAGAGGAATTAAGTTAACGTGTCATACTTTAAAACTATGGGAGCGAGTTATGGAGCATAGGTTGCGGCGTGATACTAATGTTTCTCAAAATCAATTTGGATTCATGCCGGGTAGGTATACTATGGAAGCCATACATTTATCGAGAGGTTTGATGGAGAAATATAGAGAGAATAAGGAGGACTTACATATGATACTTATTGATTTAGAGAAAGCATATGATAAAGTTCCAAGAGAAGTGCTATGAAGAGTTCTTGAAAAGAAAGGAGTTAATAATGCTTATTTTAAAATTATTAAAGATATGTATGCAGGAGCTATTACTTATGTTCAAACACAAGGTGGTTTGACCAAGTATTTTCCTATTTCGGTTGGATTACATGAAGTATCAGCCTTAAGTCCATATCTTTTTGCGTTAGTCATGGATGTTCTCACTAGACATTTTCAAGAAGATGTACCTTGGTGTATGCTTTTTGCTGATAATATTCTTCTTGTTGATAAGACTAGAGAGGGAGTAGAAGGTAAACTTGAATTATGGAGGGCAACTTTAGAGTCTAAAGGTTTTTGCTTGAGTAGATCTAAAACTGAATATATGGAATGTAATTTTAGGAGTAATAGACCTAGTGAGGGGATTGTGACTTTGCGCGATCAAGTTGTTAATAAGAGTTAACGTTTTAGATATCTTGGATCTATTGTTCAAAGTGATGGTGAAATTGATGGGGATATTATCAGCAGAATTCAAGTTGGATGGTTGAAGTGGATGAATGCATCGAGCTTATTGTGCGATAGAAAAGTCCCACTCAAACTTAAGAGAAAATTCTACAAGATGGTGGTGAGACCTACAATGCTTTATGGTGTTGAATGTTGGCCATTAAAAGAGAAGCATAATACTAAGATAAGTGTTAAAGAGATGAGGATGCTTATGTGGATGAGTGGCTTGACCCTTAGAGATAGAATACGGAATGAGCATATATGTGAAAAGGTTGGAGTAGCTCCAATGGAAGATAAGATTAGAGAGAGTCATCTTAGATGGTTTGGTCACATTAAACGAAGGCCTCCTGATGACTCGGTTAGGAAAGTTGAGGTATTAGATTTGACTTATGTTAAGAAAGGTAGAGGTAGACCTAAAAAGACTTGGTTATAAAATATTAGAAATGATCTTTCCTTATTAGATTTAAATGAGAATTTGACTTTTAACCGGACACAATAGCGAAAAAGGATTCATGTAGCCGACCCCACATAGTGGGACAAAGGCTTGATGTTGTTGTTGTTGTTGTTGCATACTATGAAAGAAAATAGGCAATATATGAATGCATTATTCATAAGTATCATGCATATACATCATATGCCATATTAATGTAATAGGCAACCACATTACAGATTAAGTACATCGTATAAGATACAAATGCATATGCCAACATACATGATACATGAAGATGCGTGACATACGTCTATTATATACATATGACAATCATATAAATGCGTCATGCAAAATACATGCAATTAAATACCCACATGGGCCCCAGTGAGCGTGTTGCATACACGTGATGTTTGGGGATATTGTGTGGGTCAAGAAATTAACCCAAATTTGAGCTCGATCTTTCTATGTGAATAGATAGGAGTCGACACGATTTGAACTATCGAAAAAAATATATGATTAAAACACCGACCGAGATATTTATTTTATATATTAATATAAGCCTTTAAGATCTATTATAAAAAAAATTCAGCAATATAAACACAAAGCCGACAGTGAGCCCGATCCTCTATCAGCAAGTAGATAGAGTTAATAAAGTTCAACCAACAATATAAAATAGCCCATAAATACCTTGATAATGGCTATATTCACATAAAATCTCAATTGGAAGGGACCTGAAATATTCGAAAAATGCCTCCCAATTTCCATGAAAAATGTTTCATGATATTAATGTTTAAAATTGAAATCAAACATCAAAATACTTAAAGCAAAATCCATCCACACTCCGCAATAATTTGCTGATGTGGAAAGAACTGAAAATCACTAAAGCCACAAAGAGTGAATGTTTGATTGAGAATATAACTAAGATTCATTCTCAATCTATTTTTTGCCAGCAAGTATGTGCCACATGTCCTCTAACATATGGTTTCGCTGTCAAATTACACCACAGATAAACGGTTATGACCGAGACCCTCTGACCGTGTAATTTTGCCACCAAATGACACCATTGTATTATGGTCATGGTTAGAGCTTATATGTTCTCCAATGGCTTCAAATTATTGAGCAATGAATCAATAAGATAATTATCAATATGGCACAAAGTCCTCTGTTAGTTAAGGTGGATTCAAATTTGTCCCCTTAGACAAATATTCACCACATGCCTACAAGATACCCTTAGACGAAGCAACCCATAGCTACCGACAATGATCCTTCTATCAAGTTGAGTTGACTATCTCCTCTGACTAAGTAGACCAGGAACCATGACGACTCGGAATGACGGAACCCTGAGATCTTGATCGGGTTCATCATCATTCCCTCCATTATTCACTTTAAGTACAAGGTAGTAAGTTTTTTATTTTACATATTAAATTTTAAAATACCAAACTCTGCTGCTATTATACGCCAGATACTGCGTAATGACTAGCCTTAATCGAAAGTTCTCTCGCTATCGGGAGGGATAATTATCTACAGGGGCTTGCGCCTGTAGGAAACCTAAACTTAGATTATAAAATCCTCACAAAATGAGGGCTAAATCTCTAAGTGATATCTTATTCAAAACTCAATATGCTTAATGAAAATTTGCCTCTGAACCTACTTGTTAAAACTCTCCTCGACAACCCGAAAAAAAAAGAATGGGGCCGTAGAGAGGCCGGGGCGAAAATTTTCGGAGCCCACAATTGGATATCATAGTTCAGTCCCCAAACATTTCATTCCAAGGGTCTGAACCCAACTTTTATTTTCAGTTTCAGAGCTTTTAGATATTAACTACAATATTTTTAAACTGATTTCAGCAAGGTTTCCTTTAACAAAGTTGTGTTATAATTAGAAATAAAGGAATAGCTTTGAAAATGAAATTTAAGATAGCCTATGTAAACTAAGTTCTTTGCTCATGGCCCTTTCCACAAAAGCTGAAAAAAACACAAAAATGGTTGTCAATTAATAGCCTCAAACCTATTTCAAATCGAAGGGGTTCATGTAACAAACCGGTGCAGATAGATTTTTAATCAAAGGACTGATGAATTTGCTAATATGAAATTTACCATTAAACTGGCTTCCATGATACTGGAAAATATTCGGAACTCAGTTCTGCTCCATTATCATCTGGAACATCTTTCCCTGATCTTCTTCCTGGAGCTCTGTCAAAATCTCATCATCGACAATGTCAACTTTCCTACAAGAATTATGCTCAATGTATTTACCCACAGAGATCATTTTCGACAACCAAGCCTTCCAATCATTGCTGCGGTATTTATCCTCCTCCCATGTTCCTGATGCCAATAACTTGTAGACGTAAACCTTTTTCTCCTGACCTGGCCGAAATGCTCGAGCAATTGCTTGCCTTGTTTTTGAATGGTTCCACTCTGAGTCCAATAAAACCACTCTTGATGCTGCTGTCAGGCTAATACCTTCAGCGCATGCAGATGTTGATGCAATTAACACCTTGCACTTATTTCCAACATCTCCATTAAAGGCGTCCATGATTTTTGCTCTCAAGGAAAGCTCTTGATCACCTTGAAGAATTAAGACTTCCTCGCCCTTACGCCAACCCAAAAAAGTCTCAAAGAATCTGACAAGCAAACTTATAGGAGGAATGTTGTGGGAAAAGATCAGAACCTTCTCCCCCTTGATGATGGATTTATGAACTATGTCAAAGACAAACTTCACCTTGGAACCACTTGTGATACTATCCTTGTACTTCTCGATTTTCTCTAGCTCAGCGTCGTTGAAATAATCCTCAGCATGAGCCATGGTCTTGATCAACCATGGGTGGATAGAACCAACCGTGATGAGCAATTCCAATTCAATGGGATACCTTCTTGTAAGTTTTAGGCAGCTCTGCAAGCGCACTAAAACTTCATGCTGGATATCCGTTGGCAGTAATACTATAGTATAAATAACCAAACCTGGAAGCCTTCCTGAATTGTCGTCTTCATAAATATCAATAAATCCATTTGTGATTTTGTTTAGTGCATCAAAACCTAGCTTCCTGACATCTTCCATGTTAGATTCAATTTTTTCACCAATTCTTTGTACAAAAAGTTTTCTTGCCATTCTTTCCTTTCTTTTACTTCTTTTATCAGATTTCTTGTAAGTGTTTAATTTTTCTCGGTCCAACTCCCCGAGGACATCATCTACAAAGCTAGGTCGGGCCAAACAAAGGGTATTGAAATATTCCTCGAAGTTGTTCTGAAACAGTGTGCCGGACAAAAGAATCCTGGATTTGGTGTTCACTTCCATCAATTGTTTTCTTAGCTTGGAAATAGTACTTCTGGGATTGTGTCCTTCATCTAAAATCAAGAGCCCAGGACTGTTCTGCAATACCTTTGCCATGAATTTTTTGTGCTCATCTTTTGACTCCTTCTGCATCAAGGAAAAAGAAGAGTAACTCATCAAAAGCACGCTTGATTCTTTATGCCACTGCTGAAACTTTGACATACAGTCTACTAGATGCCTCATTTTCCTGTTTGGCTTTCTATGTTCCATAGAAGAGATTCTTATTTTCCAATCCAAATTTTCTTTCTGGAAGCTTTGAGCTGGATGTATTATATGTAAAGGAAACTGAACACCCCACTTCTCAAACTCCTTTTGCCAGACATAGACTGCAATCTTGGGGGCAAGTATCAGTGGTCGACTCCTTGGAAAAAGTCTCAAATAGCTGATAATAAAGGAGATCAAGAGCAAAGTTTTCCCGGAGCCTGGAGAGTGTGAAATAACACAACCCCCTGTCTCATTGGAATGAATATCCATCTCTTTAGGTTTCAAAGACCCAGCAATATTCCTCCATATAAATTCAAAAGCCTTTTTCTGATGAGTATATAATCTTAATTTAAGCTCAGGTATCAAAGCCCAGACATTTTCATCTCCTCCTAATGAAGCCAGATCCAATTGTGTAATAGCATCACCAAAAGAACATGGATCCAAACAATAAGTCCCTAGCATACTGAATCCCACTTTACCCAAGTGCTCCCTGCCTGTATTCCAGCTTTCACTAATCACCTGAAAGAGATTTTCAAGTATTATCGTTACTCAAGGATTGAAACAAACATTTTAAAGAAAGAAGATCCCCTGCAAGGACTCACAAATTGTGGCATAACATCTCTTATTTTAGTGTGCACATAATTGCACAGCTGGCATATTATTCCAATTTGCTCATCTAGCTTGAAATCATGTTTGCATGCTTGATCACCATCTTCATTTGATAAAGGAACTGTCCCATTATCAAAAGCTTCAGAGTCCATCTCCTACTAGACATGATATAACAGTGTAAAACTATCACAAAATCATTCGCTTTGTCTCAAAGAAAATAAATGTCCAAGAAGTTCTAATCCCAATGCTTTCACTAGTAATGAGGTGATTTAGAGACATAAGAAAAAGGATATTAAGAAATGAGGAGAGGAAAAATTAAACTTTTGCAATTGCACAAAACATGCCTTTTGCAGTTTCTTAGTATCATATGAAAGAATCAACAGTTTCTTACAAGGATCACTCACGTAAACTTTCTTTATCAGCTCGAATCATAAGAACATGGAGGATTACTTGTTTCTCTAAAATACACTACGATCGGAAATTCATGGTCAAATTCAAGGTTTTTGAAATGATTCAAGTTAATAAGGGCCAGGGGATAGCCTATTCCAAGGATAAAATAGTGATTCAATTATTTTGGAAACTAAATTGAAAATAGATGATTAAGTTGTGCATCAAAATGAATTTCCTCCTTCAGTAAATTTCACTACAAATGTGCTGCACAATTGCCAAAGCTATGATTATACTTGTGCTAATGTTAAAGGAAGCACGCCATGCCTGCTGTTCAAGAAGAGCAAGTGCCGTTAGTGTATGCTCCATTTCTTTCCAGAGGTCTTCGTGCTCATCAATTTCAAATTGATCCACAGGAGATGGAGACCATTTAAAGTGTTCTTCTTCATAAGCAAATGTTTTTGCTGATTGAGAGTCTGGCTCAACTTCAGTTTCCATTTCATCCTCAATATTTCCCATGCATTGCTTTATCAGTTGGTCACACTCTGCTGCACTGAGAAGGAGCTTCTTTCTGTAAGAAAACCTCTTCTTACAAAGAGGATTACCGTTACGTGAAGATGGAATACTCCTATCACTTTTTCTCGGCCTCCCTCTGTGTCTCAGTACTGTTTTTTCTAAACCATGCTGTGTTACCCTATCTGGTGAATTATCAGGATGGACGTCACAGATGTCTTCACCCATTGTAAGTAGAAGTTGTGGTTGAACTTCTTTCACTTTCCAATCAAATGTCTTCCTTCTGTCTGCAGTTGGTGATAATTCATATTCCTCGTCGGAACTTCTTGGGACAACACAAAGCTCCCAGTTATCCAATAACTGTTCTCCCACTTCTGATGAATCTGATAGTTCATCAGAATTTTGATCCAATATCTCTATAATCTGCCCTGTATTCCTCGATATACGGTCAAAATCAGGGGAAGAGTAGCTTGTAAAACGTTTGGGCTTAACCTTGCGGCGCTTGGATCGTCTCAGACTCATGCAATCATACAAAACCTCAACATCTGTCTCACTATCCCCCTCTATAGATCTGTTCAGATCTGGTTGGATATCCAGTTGCAAAGGTGTTTCTACTGCCATTTCTTTAATAAAAAATGGGTCAACTATTTTGACCACCGGCCTCAAATTTTCATTAAACCTATGGAAACACATGATCTTTATATCCTTGACAGGGTTAAGACGTGACATATTATCGTTAACAGACTCCTGCTTTCTGTTCAGGATTTGGTATACTATATTACTTTGTAATGATTTCATATGAAAACTGATTCCTTTTTGTATGGACAGGACAACTAGCCATGAAATTTCAGAAGAAACAATTCCGCTAACAAGTCTGCTTCTACTTGAGGAAATGCAGTCCTCCGAGTAGCTCCACAGGTTGAATTCATCTTCACAAGGTTCATCACTAAGCTTTTGAAGTATTGCAATCCTGTCGATTGTGACCATCTCAGCTCTTTCAAACATTATGTTCTTTCCAGTACCATTCAAAGCTCTTTCTCTATAGAGTATGACAGAAAAAAGGCAAGAACATCGACTTCCATGATGGATGTTCTTTTTTGATATGATTTTTGCATCATACCACAATGGCAACTGCAAGTAAATGAAAATTTTCAAACTACAAATGAATGTTAATAGATAATTGCTTTGCATCTTACAAGCTAGAATGGTACAAGTGATCAAGTATATTGATACAGATTGTTCAAAATATGTGGAAAACAAAAAATTCCTGTGCAAAAAAGATAAACAGGGTTTTCATTCATACATTTATGATGGAAAAGAACACGAACAGATTAATAATGTGCAACTTATAAGGGGGATCTTGTAACCACCTACATTTGGTCGTAGTCCTTCATCTGATACTTCCGAAATTGGACCAGTTGAAAGGACACAAACATCAACACCAACTTTTAGAAGGTGTGAACAATCATAATCATTTGCTTTTCTTGATCGTAGACGGACATTGTCAAAACATATTTCATCCTCTACCTCTGAACTCTGGCTGCTGAACAGTATATAGGTTTTCCCCTTTCTAATTCTCACAAGGTCTATTGCATGCCATGAACCATCATAAAAAACTTCAAAGGCTGCAAGTAGCATAAAATATCAAATATCATATGCAGATTATCCATTTTGAAGATTTTATATAAAAGAGAAATAAGGGTGAATATGGATGTCTAGTGTGCCATCTACATAAGAAAGCAGCTCTATGGTACTATCATGCACTATCCAAAACCATAAACAGTTTATGCATCAAGTTACTAATTTAAACTTGAACAGTATGGTAAATAAATCGTCAACATTTCATAAAGAATGCAAACATCTAATAATTCTGCTTCATTGCTTACGAATTGGACTAATTGGATGTCTTCTTCCTAATTCCTGCATCTCCTTCAACAATTAAACCTGAATCGAATCCTCGATGGTCAACATTTTGTCATAAGCCAAACATCTGCCATATAATGAATCATCTTTCATCAAATCAAATACGAAGAGATAAATAATGAATTTATGACAGCTTAAAATGCTAAACCTGCTTGAGATTACAATACCCAGACGAACGCTTGCTTTTCAGTTCGATTTGCAATTCAGACCAATTTGTTACAAAAAATCCTGTGATTGGAAGTCAAAGGCTGAAGATAAGCAAATGCATATAACAAGAAAATGCTCAGCTGAATAATGTGAACACTAATTTTTATTTAGTTATATAACATCTTAGTATCTAAATGACATCAAAATATGCTGAAAAAAGTATATTTTACTTTAAATAGCTTCATATCGTGGCATTTTTTATAATACTTAGAAATTAAGATATCATATTAATAAATATAAGGATTTAAGCGCAGGATCTGATATGGATGTAAATCCCACACGCAAAATGCAGCTACGATAAGCTACTTCTCATGGATTGCATTAGGGTTCTCAAACAGGAGTAACATCTTTGAGCGCAACATTAGAAGAAATAATCAAATGCACACCAATTATGAACTGCACTTAGATTGTCTGCGGATCATTAAACATATAAAGCGCTTAAAACTGCTTTTAAACAAAACCGTTAGAATTAAAGCAGATCAACGCTTCAGCTGATTGCATGAAGGAAAAGATCGGGGAAGGAGTTGAGTTAACTACCGGGTGGAAGATCTCCGGTCAGATAGCCGCCGGCAAAGGAGTTGCGGAGGTCGGAGAAAAATTCCAGAGTTGTGAGAATCGAGTGCGCATGGAAAGATAAAAGAGCTGGAAGTGAAAGATCAGACTTTTTTTTTTTATTTCCTATGCTTTCCCGAGAAAGAGATTCTTGGACGACGATGTAACGGGGCCCACTTGTCAATTAGATAGATACAAAGGATACGTCAATGTCGGCAGGAAGTGGGGCCCGTTCCGCACTAAAACGAGTCTATGCAGAGCAGCAGGAATCAGACGGCTGGGAATTAAGATAAAAGAGTTTATAACATTTTTTTTTTTTTTTAAATTAGACATCAATGCTCTCTTTGATAATATATATATATTAGGGGCCAAAATTTCATTTTTTTTTAAAGGAAATGCTCTCATTGTATTAAAATTAAGAAGCTATTACAAACTACTTAAAGCAAATTTAAAGTATCACATTCCTCCTTTAAACGTAACAAGAAAGGAGGAATATATACACAACTAAGATATTTCCAAATAAATTTGTTAAACAAAACAAAATTAGCACATAAATCAACTAATTTATTACATCTTCTATTAGTAAAATTAAAAGAAACTTGATGAAATTCTTGAATGAAAGTCAAATCTTTCTCCATCCATTCATTATTCTTCAAGTTCTTCAAAGAATGTTGAAGTAATATGATGATATTAACATTATCCCTTTCTATAATGATTCCATGCGCTTCTAACATCCATTCTTGAATAAAATTTTTCAAAGCACAAAACCAATAATTCTAATTGTGCTATGTACCAATGCAAGTAATTGACACCAAAAGCAAACAAAAATCTTCCTTTATGATCTCTAAAAACTCCGCCAATACTTGCATTGTTATTACTTAATAAAGAAGCATCAATATTAACCTTTATCCAATCGGGTGGAGGGGGATGCCAAGAACAAGACAACTTACGCTGCTTAACATCCCAGTTGTCTGAATAAATATTAATACTAGATGATGCCCGAATTCTAGTGAGAGAGACTCCCAGATTCTAGTGAGAGAAGGTTTGTTTTTTTTTTCAAAATTTTTTTATTCATTTTCTCTTGTTTTGCTCGTATGGTGGCGGAGGGTCGCCGGTCATCGTTTTGTGATGACCGGAATACTTCCAATCCACATTCTGCTAGGTGTCCTAATGATTCAATTCATAGTGGATCCAAAGGCAGAGGTTTTACAAATTAGAATTTTTTGATTAAGCAACAGCCTTTGGTCATTACCGAAGGTTGTCTACTGCTGATTCAAAAAGTGGTATCGGTGTTGGGCAAGTGAAAAGAATCAATGGAGGTTTTGAGAGAAAAGATGGTTCCGACGTCTCTTTCTTCACCTTCAACAAAATTGCTGTCTGGAGCGGCTAATGATTCGGAGGCTTCGTCTCCACAGGTTTAAAGCTGAAGGTAAATAGATTCACAAATTCATCATGTTCTGATAACTATGCGAAAAAATAGGAGGTCTTGAATTTGAATTTTAAAGAGTCAAAGCAGAATGATGTTTTGAATTTGGTAGTGGAAACACATATGGTGAGTGATAAGAATGTGGTACCAAACCCAATTAATGTTAGTGATGGTTTTGTAAACAAATGGTTTAAGAACTAGCACATTAAAGTGTCCCCAATTAATCTAGATTCGGTAGATGATGTGGATTCGGATGTAGTTAAACTGAATATGGAGAAGGTCTCTGAAAATGTTAATTTGTTGCAAAAATCTTTGGTGGTGAAAGTATTTGGGAGAGAAATTCCTTTCTCTCTTTGTAGCATTGAGTTAAGGCGTCAATGGAATAGATTTGGGAGTTTTCATATCACTTCATTGGGCCTTGACTGGATTTTGTGTTCTTTTCATTCTTCTGAAGTTATGGAAGAAGTGTTTAGTGGAGGTCCTTGGTATGTGGGAGGACACATAATAGGAATGGATAAATGGACACCTCAATTTTCTCCAACATCATTGAAAGGATTATCCTCACCAATTTGGATTCGATTACCGCAATTGTCTTTACATTGTTGGGATGAGACTAATGTTACTAAGATTATCTAAAAGATAGGAATTCCATTGTTACTAGATGGAAAATTGTTTAAATGGGGTAGACGTGAATTTGCTAGAGCTTGTGTTTGAATTAATCTTGACTCTAAATTAACTCAAGGAGTTTGGATTGAAGGTTTATGCGGGAAATTTTTCCAGAGAGTTGAATATGAAAATGTATATTATTTTTGTTTCAAATGTTGCAAGATAGGTCACAAAATTGAAAGTTGTGCGGATGTTCTTAAAGATATGGGAAACAAGACTCAGAATGAAGTTGAGGGAAATAATTCAAAGGTTCCTATAACAAGTTTTGATAGAGTTTGATGGACAAAATAGATATTAGAGGTTCACAAATGTGTTATGGCCCTTGGATACATGTGAAGTTTAAGAAAAAATAGAAGAATGAAAAATAATTGGAATCAAATATCTAAATTTTAGCCCAAGGTTGTGGATCCCGAGAATACTATGGCATATGCAGATCTTCTTTCAGGAAATAAGTTTAAGTTGCTGTCTCTAGTCTTTGCCAAGGAATTGTCTAGATTGGATGCTGTGGAGCCAGTTAAGAAATCCAAAGATCACAAGATAACTTCAGATTTTGAAGTCTTGGTTTTGGAAGAAAAAATTCCTGAGTCAGGTTTGTCCAAAAATGTAGTTTTTGTTGATGAAGTTATAGTTCAATTAGAAGACAGAGAGATTGATCAAAATGCTGAAAACTGTGTTGTGGATAAAGGTTTGGATGTAAATACAAATCATAAAGAGGAGCTCCATGGAGACAAGGTTGTTGATTTATCATTACCGGATGGAAGCAAGGAAAAAAATTGTTAATTCTGGAACTTATTTCAGAGAAGAGGTTGTTGAAATTATAGTGAAAAGTTCTCCAAATTCAGAAGATGGAGAATTTGTTTTGACTTCTAATTTGTCTTGTAAGGAGAAGGTGAATGATAAAGAAGGGTTGATTGAAGTAGATGTTGCGACCCATGACCCCGAGTTTAAGATTTTGATGATGACAAATAATGTCGCCTGAACTACTTTTCATTGAATATCATTTATGGTTTGCTATTGTCCGTGAGTACTAACATTTCAGGAAGATCACAAGCCACTCAGGACAATGGGAAGACTCAAGTCTGATTAGATTAGGAGTATGAGTATGACAATATAATTTGTTATTTATTTATTTTTTAATTTTCTTGAGTCTGGCCACAAACTGCATGTAAGTCTGAGCAACGATGCACACATAAAGGGGGAGAGGGTTTTAAAAGTAAAAAACATAGATTTTCTTTCTCTGGTGATCGTACTGTACAACTTTATTTCATACTGTACGATCTGAGCTTGTAAAATGATTTCTGTGAATAGATCTTACCGTATGAATAATATCGTACTGTACGATGTGTTCCAAATCCAAAACCCTAGCCGTCAACTTAACTTAAGTAAGTTTTTCGATGTCGTTCGTACTGTACGAAGGACTTCGTACTGTACAATTTATTTTAAATACTTGCTTAAATTATCCCATGATTAGTGGAATAAATCAAGGCTTAATTACTAATTGAAAATTATACTGTACGAACACATTCGTACCATAGGATGAACAGATACGAATTCTGATCGTCCCGGATATCATCCTGGACGATCCCTCATTTTTTCTCGCATTATACTATACGATGTATATCATACTATACGATGAACAGAGATGACATTTGATCGTCCAGGAATTCGTCCTGGATGATGCCTTGATTTTGACAATTCATACTGTACGATGTATATCATACCATACCATGAACAGAGATGATATTTGATCGTCCCATCTATCGTCCTGTACGAGTAGTAGTGTTGAGGATCGTACAATACAACTGTTTGTACAACTTCGTACCAGGACGAAGCCTATTTATACATATTGTACTGTATGATGTGAAATCGTATCGTACAATTGTAACGGCTACTTTAAAAATTTCAAGGATTTTGGAGCCCGTTTTATGTATCAAAATTAGTACTCTTTTAGAGAAGAGAGTCGAAAAGAAGGGAACGTGATTAGAGAAAAAATCCTTGGGAGAGAGCTCTTGAGAAGTTTTTTTTTGGGTTTGAGAGAGGAAGGAGAAGGTGAGCTTGGTGAGGGAGAAGAGGTGGGAGGGAGATCACACGGTTGCTCCATTCTTGCTACATCTTGCTCCTCCTGTGGCCCGGGAAGAACTTGTGGGAGGCTCTATGAGGAGGAGACTCTTCTACATCCGTGACCTCGAAGGTACTCTGCCTTCTCCAGGAGGGAGAAAAACGAGAAGGTACTCTGCCGTCGCCAGGAGGGTGAAAATAGCGCTTGGCACTCCGCCACGTCGGGTTGGTGAAAGGGAGTATTGTAAGGGCTTCTCCGCCTTGCTGAGGGGGGCAAAAGGAGAGCTATAGTTTGTAGTGAAATTCCCAAAGCGGACGACTCCGGGGAGTGGACGTATGTCATGATTTGACCGAACCAATATAAAATTCCAGTGTGCTTTTTCCTTATCGCTTTTTATTTTTTGCTTGCACTTTATTTTCATAGTATTTGCGTAGTGAAATTTGTGAAAGAAAAAAAGAGATTTTATCGTTGCATGTTGAGTTCATGTATTTGCCTTCGTAGTAGTTAAATTTTCTTGTTAAAATTTAAAACCACCAAAATATTAGAACTCTTGCTTAGGTTTTTTATTATTGCTACAAAGTTTTCACAATCCCCCCCCCCTCTTGTCAATCTAGTTATTTCAACAGAGACTGATCTTGTTGGTGAAGGAGGTTCAGGCAGCTTATTAAGTTCTTAAGATCCTAAAAATCTAAAGTAGGTTGTGATTACTTCTTTGTCCAAGATTGGTAATGTGAATAGTAGAGAAGCCTTGTTTGAAGATGGAAAATTCCAACTCCCTTCCAAATCGGTTCATCATAAGAAAAAGTTTAACAAAGATTCAAATTTGTTTGGTCCTATTAAAGGGGGCCTTAGAGGAAGGAAAGTGGGCATTCTTGGTGGCAGTATTGGAGCCACTTCATTATTCATCCCATGAAATGATTGCTGAAATTGGAGTTCAAGGCTGGTTGGTGGATTGGTTGAAGATGGCA